TTTGCATCTGTATGCAAAGATATTCATGACATACTTTTGTTGTTGTTCAAGACAGAGTCTTGCTCCATTGCCCAGGCTGAGTGCAGTGGTGTGATCTCGGCTCACTGCAACCTCTGCCTCCCAGGTTCAAGCACTTCTCCTGCCTCAGCCTCTGAAGTGGCTGGGATTACAGGGGCGTGCCACCTATAATCCTGGCTAATGTTTTGTATTTTTAGTAGAGATGGAGTTTCATCATGTTGGCCAGGCTGGTCTCGAACTCCTGAACTTGTGGTCCACCCCCCTCTGCCTCCCAAAGTGCTGGGAATACAGACATGAGCTACTGTGCCTGGCCCATGTCACATTTTTTAATGGGTGATAAATATGGCTTCAGTTTGTAGCCTTACTTCTCCCACATTATCCTGCAGAAAGTAGAGAGAATGGAAAGAAGGGGAATATTAACATTGGCTTTTTCTGAGGAAAGGATGTGGTGGTATTGGTGAAAACCATAAATGATTTCATTTTCTTTTTATCTACATGTATCAATTTTTCTATAATGTATTATGCTTAAAATCAGAAAAAATAGTTATTTGTATCTGAAATGAAATGTGACATAATTCCTCTTTGGATTGCTTTAGAAATAAGTTTAATGTTTAAGCATGAATTTGGCCAAAGAAAAGGAAAGCAATGATAGTGGTGGATGTCTTGAGCTCAGTATATATGAGTAGCTGTAAGGGAAGACAATGAAGAGAAATGAACCAAAGTTCCTTTGAGAAGAAAAGGCAGCCAGGTGCGGTGGCTCACACCTGTAATCCCAGCACTTTGGGCGGCTGAGGTGGGCAGATCGCGAGGTCAGGAGTTCCATACCAGCCTTGCCAATATGGTGAAACCCCGTCTCTACTGAAAATACAAAAAAATTAGCTGGGCATGGTGTTGCACGCCTGTAATCCCAATTACTCCAGAGGCCGAGGCAGGAAAATCACTTGAACCTGGGAGGTGGAGGCTGCCGCGAGCCAAGATCACACCAGTGCACTTAGCCTGTGCCACAGAGCGAGACTCCATCTCAAAAAAAAAAAAAAAGAAAAAAAAAAAAAAAAGAAAAAAAAAAAAAAAAAAAAAAAAAAAAGGCCAGGCATGGTGTCATACACCTATAATCCTATCTACTCAGGAGGCTGAGACATGAGAATTGCTTGAGCCAGGGCAGTGGAGGTTGCAATGAGTGGAGATCGCACCACTGCACTCCAGCCGGGGCAACAGAGCAAGATTCCGTCTCAATTTTAAAAAAAAGAAAAAAAATATTTTGTTTTAAGGATATCCTTAGGATTAACCAGATGTTCTAAAAATGTGTGTGCAGGAATGTTCACTTCTCTTTGTTGTCGTTGCAGCAAAAATTAGAAAACAGCAGTGAAAAATTATTTGAGATCATTGTATGTGTGTGTGCACATATGTGTGTGTGTGTNCAAGATCACACCAGTGCACTTAGCCTGTGCCACAGAGCGAGACTCCATCTCAAAAAAAAAAAAAAAAAGAAAAAAAAAAGAAAAGAAACGGTAAGTATGTACTAAGTATATAGGTGAAGCTGGCAGGCTGAATCCCTACTTGCTACAAGTCCCCTGTTAACCCACACATAATCTTTTAAGTATTACCCTAAGGCAAATTTATGTATTATCCATGAAAATGTATGTTGGCATATAGGAATCCATGGTTCTGGAAACTAGATTTCCAGATTAAAGAAGCGAAACCACTCTCTCTCATTCTAAGGGAATGAGTGCTATGACTTTTGTTTTAGGCTTTAAAGATTTTGACAAGTCATTCCTTCCATGATTCTTATGCATGGATGTTTTTATATTTAAAATTTATCTTACTAACTAGTTGGTTTTTCAGGTACACAAAGATGTGAGTGTGAAACTTACAAAACTTTCTGTCATTTGAAGCAATTACTGATGTATAATTTTGAGAATATTGAACTTTTTAGCTTTCATTGCAAGTTATTCCTTATCTGTTTAATTTACAGAACTGCTTCCCAAGTTCATTTAATGAAATTTTCACCAGATGGAGAATTTTTTGCAACTGCTGGGAAGGTAAATTGTGAAAATGCTGTTGCTAAATTATATGTTTATAGTTTACTTTGAAACCTTAAAAACGTTAACTGTCTGCATTCTTTTATTTATTTAGCTTGAAAATAATAGTTTCCACTAAAAAGTTTAAGTATTAGAAATTGACTACGTTATTGTGGTGTTAAAAGGCTGTGTGGTATAATTGAAATAACATAGATTTAGGGGCAGATCTGGATATAAATCTGCTATTTACCAGCTTTCTCATCTTGGGCAAATGAATCTACCTGAGCCTTTCTTTTCTCATGTGTAATAAGAGGATAAAAACACTTATCTCATAGCTCATTGACCGTAGGATTAATTTAGACAATGTATACAGTATAGAGTGACTGGCACAGTGCCTTTCATGTAGTATACAATCAATAAAGCATAGCTTCTATTTATATTACCTTTTAGTTGGTGTATATTAGACTGTTTTTAATATGTAAGACTTTATGGGCTTTCTAGAAAGATACTAGTAACCATTTCTTTAGTGTGCATACTTTGTTACTACCTGTTGATTTTAAAGCAGTGTATTTCTTTGAAGTTATTTTTATTCATTGGTTCATAGAGCATTTCATGAACTACTACTAAGTCAAATTGTTGTTCTCATGGCTCAAAGCCTTCTGCAAACTAAGCATGTGAGTTACTCTAAAACCACGGTAAGATTTTTGTTTTTTAGGAGAGAAGTGGAGCTGTTTATTCTGATTGACTTTACAGGTGGGAACTAAGTTATAGCTTAAAAACAGCACCTGGTACATTCTAGGCTCCCTTGCTCTTCCCTTATTTCCCAAATTAGGAGGTATAAATTTGATTGTACGTAGAATATTTTATATAGTATTAATATATTAACTCATTATTTTCATTATCAACATTTTCTTTGAAAAGTCACATGCTAATTCATGAAAAGTATTCTTTTTTTCAATAATTAGCAGTCTTCATAAGTCTGCTAGTGGTATTTTTTTATTTAATATTTGGCTTATGGGAAAATAAGTCTTTTATTTCATTTTTCAATCTTTCCTGAATGACTCCATTCCCCATACTCTATAGTAATTAGCAAGAATTTTCCTTGAGCACAGAATTCACACATTCACACAATTCAGTTCTTAAAGCACAGTTAGGGAATGCTAATAGAAAAGTGCCAGAATTAGAATTTTCTTCTTAATTCCCCTGTGCCCAGCCTCTCTTCCCATCCCCAAGTTCTTGCCATCGAGGAGGAAAATATTACTTTTGCTATTTGATTTAATTTTTAATTCTGATCTGCATGTTATTCTGTTTTTGGTTTTTTTTTCCCATTAGGATGACTGTCTTTTGAAGGTATGGTATAATGTAGAAAACTGGCGGACAGCTGTTACTTCTCCAGATAGAAGTTCAGAAAAACAATCCCAAGGAGAAATTGACTTTTCTTTTGTATATCTGGCCCATCCTCGAGCCGTAAATGGATTTTCCTGGCGTAAAACAAGCAAATATATGCCTAGGTCAGTGGATTGGTCATTATTTCCCATGTATTAAGGGATCATCATCTTTGTTACTTTGATTGCTTTTCTCACTTTTGAGAGTCCATAGTTATAGGACTTCTGAGCCTATGAAGATTAGAGTAATATTAGATACTCTCTGGCCTGCACATCTCTGGCTGTGGGTCAACTGTGATTGATGCTTAGGTTAAGAGCCATATTAAAGGAGTTTAAGGTGAGATAATTTACCTCCATATCAAATGTCTTTAAGTCATAGAATTGTGCATATTTTGTTTTTCTTTGTGCTTTGTATCTGTCATCTTTTATTCTCCAGATTGTTGTTTGTTTATATTTTTACATAAATACTCTCTCATTTTGTACCTTCTAGTATGTCTCTCCTGGTTTTCTTCTTTTAAAAAATGGCTTTATTATGAGGATATACCATGAGTTCTCATATGTTTATTTGACTGCTCCCAGCATATCTGAGGAAAAGAGAGTAGGTTAATACCCTATATTATTCTTCTCAGAAATAGGTATTAGTTTAACCACACAAGCACGCACATACTTACCCTCAGTACCTTCTTTAGTTCTGGAAAGAGCTAATACCATACTGAATTTTAGTAGGTTATAGAGACCTATTACTTAAGTACAGGTAGAAGTCCCTTATTGTTTTTTGGTTTTTGTTGTGTGTTTTTATTTTGTTTTGTTTTGTTTTGAGACAGGATCTCACTCTATCACCCAGAGTGGAGTGCAGTGGCCCAATCATGGCTCACTGCAACCGTCACCTCCTGGGCTCAAGTGATCCTCCTGCCTCAGCTTCTCAAATAGCAGAGACCACAGGTGCGTGCCAGCACGCTGGGCTAATATACTTTTTCCTTTTTGGATTTTTTGTAGAGTTGGGGTTTTGCCATGTTGCCCAGGCTTGTCTTGAACTTCTGAGCTCAAACAATCTGCCTGCCTTGGTCTCCCAAAGTGCTGGATTACAAGCATGAGCCACTGTGTACAGCCAGAAATCCCATTTTGTACTGTATGGCCATTTTCAATTTGGCCACACCATGTGACCACTGTATTTTTTCCCTACCTTTTCACTGTTTTATGAATTTTGCTAAATAGGTGTTTTGAGCTATAGTGTAGCTACAGCTAGGTAAGGGATAGAGAAAAGAGAGTGAGAAAAAATGGAGGGAGATGTGTGCAAGGATGGGGAAAGGAGGAGAAACGAGGTTGGGGAAAGAAAGAAAAAAGGTGCTAGGAAGGAGAGGTAGAGGACAGAAGGAGAGAGATAGAAAGGGAAGATGGCCTTGAAAGGCTGTGAAAGCAAAGAATGGTGGGAGAGGGAAGCCAAGAGAGGAAGTAGAAAGGGGAAGATGGGGACGTAGACAGCAAGAGGAACGGGGGCCAGAGGGAGAGTGATGAGAGAATGGTGGAAGGAAGGAGAAGGGGAGGGCAACCAATACAAGTCATGCTGTTCTCCCTTCTCTTCTGGAGCAACTTCTTTTTTAGTCAGTAGGTTAACAAAGTGGCTAGTATACAATATTTTGATTTCTCATTTACTGTAACTCACTGAGTTACTGATAAAACCTACTGATTGTTCAGTTTTTTAAAAAGCAGATATATATGCTAGAACAAGTTACTACAAAATATCATGACTTTTTCTTTCTTTTTTCCAAACTTGCTGAGTTTCCTTACAGAAGGTAGTCTTCGTTTGTAGAGCTTCAGCCATTGAGCTCTTGATGCTATGGGACTTACTAATATATATGTAATTGATTTTAGCTTTTATTTTAAGGAGGTGGAAAAAAGGAAATTAACTGAAAGTCAAGGATGACTAAGGAGGGGAGGTGTTTAGTACTTATTTTATCATGAATATTCAATTCTTACATTTTACTGTTTTGGGCATCTGTTAGGCAAGGAGAGAATTATTGTACTCAATAGTTACTAGCTTGTTGTGACCGTGTGCAGGTGCCTTTATAGGAAGTAGAGAAGAAGCATATGATATAATTCAGAGAACTATCTACTCAATAAATCAGAAAATTTTGTTAGAAGATGTAGCTATTTCTTGTATGTCAACTGAGAGATCCTGGCTCAATCTCAGTCTTTGTTTTTTTAGATGTAAAAATAATCTTATTGAGAGCTGGGATGGTGATACATGCCTGTAATCGCAGGATGAGGTGGGAGGATTACTTGAGCCCAGAGGGTTGCTTGAACCCAGGAGTTTGAGAACAGCTTGGGAAACATAGTGAGACCACATCTCTTAAAAAAAAAAAAAGAAGTAAAATTTGGCAAGGTTACTGAAGTAAGAACTATTGAATTCTAGGCAGAAAAGAAATAGGTTGGCAAGCATTTTCTGTGATGAAATCTGTATATAGTAACATTTTCTTCACTGGTACCTTAGTTGGACCTTTTAAGTAATTAAAGAAACATCATAGCATTGTCTGTGATACTACGTGAAATTTGTATTTTTGCTTCTAAAATCTTTTTATTCCTTAGGGCTTCTGTATGTAATGTACTGTTGACTTGCTGCAAAGATAATGTGTGTCGTCTTTGGGTAGAGACATTTTTACCAAATGATTGTTTGCTATATGGAGGTGACTACAACCATTGGACTGAATCAATTAATTTAACAAATAACTTCAAGAGAAATGCTTCTGGTAAAGAACGAGTTCAAAATGCTTTAGAAGTGAGTGTTTTTGTTACATAACGTACTACAAGTTTTAAAACCTTTGGTACATTGTCTTTTTGGTAACATAGTAATATTATTAAAAAATCTATATCCTAGGAAAATAATTCTTAGAAAATTTTCAGTTTTATTTGGTTCAAAGAATATATTTTTGTCTAGGTTTTGTCTGGAGCACAAAACTACCTATAAGTATCAAGTTAATTTTAGGTTAACTGATGATGATAAAAGGATGATTACATTTGACTTAGCTAAAGTAACATAAAGTAAAATCTGAGAATGCAAATATTTGACTCTTAAAAATAACAGGCCGGGTGCGGTGGCTCACGCCTGTAATCCCAGCACTTTGGGAAGCTGAGGCGGGCGGATGACAAGGTCAAGAGATCGAGACCATCCCGGCCAACATGATGAAACCCCGTCTCTACTAAAAAATACAAAAAATTAGCTGGGCGTGGTGGCGTGTGCCTGTAGTTCCAGCTACTCAGGAGGCTGAGGCAGGAGAATTGCTTGAACCCTGGAGGTGGAGGTTGCAGTGAGCCGAGATCACGCCACTGCATTCCAGCCTGACGCCTGGTGACACAGTGAGACTCTGTTTCAAAAAAAAATTTTAAAACCCATATTTTTTCCTTCTTAGAGCTTGAGTATTTTATCCTATTTTCTTCTCCTACCATTTTATCTTTAGAAACCTCACCACACCCCCCAGAACTTGGAGTCTTTAAAGATTCATCTGGAGAGTAAAAGTCAACTTTTGATGTTTGGATACACTAAAGTTAGAATAGTAATACACCTGATCTTAGCCTAAAGGCTGAGAAGCAGTAGTAGAATAGTAATACAGAATCTTCTCCTTACCATTTTTTTTTTGAAACAGAGTCTCACCCTGTCAACCAGGCTGGAGTGCAGTCATGTGATCTTGGCTCATTGTACTCCTGGCCTTAGTCTCCTGAGTAGCTGGGATTACAGGTGTGCATCACTATGCTCAGCTAATTTTTGTATTTTTAGTAGGGAGAGGGCTGCACCATGTTGGCCAGGGCTGGTCTCGAACTCTTGACCTCAAGTGATCTATCTGCCTCGGCCTCCCAAAGGGCTGGGATTACAGGCATAAGCCATGGCTCACAGCCTTTCATTTTCTTAATATTGAAAACAGGAAGTGATTTTATTTTTTTGTGAATTTTGTTTTTGTTTTTGACTTTGAGATGGAGCCTTCTCTGTCGCCCGGGATGGAGTGTAGTAGCATATCAGCTCACTGCAACCTCTTCCTCCTGGTTTCGAGCAATTCTCCTGCCTCAGCATGCTGAGTAGCTGGGATTACAGGTGTGTGCCACCACGCCCAGCTAATTTTTGTATTTTTAGTACAAATGGTGTTTTGCCATGTTGGCTCAAGTAATCCTCCCACCCAAGCTGGTCTCGAACTCCTGGCCTCAAATGATCTACATGTCTCATCCTCCCACAGTGCTGGGATGACAGACGTGAGCCACCCACGCTCGGCCCTGAAAACAGAAATGATTTTAAAACAATTTATCTTTGAATGCTTTGTGTGATTTTGCAGCAACTATTTTTCTAATTTGAATAGTATTCTGATGGCTTAGAATGTAATAAACTCTATGTTGACTCAACAACAAATAGAATGGTTACAGGTAGTAATAACTGAAAGAAGTTACCAGGAATCTGAAGACTTGTTCTACCTTTTTCCCTGCATCTTCTTAGCTAGATGACCTTGGGTTCTCTATAAAATATTTTATCATATGAAAAATGAGAATAACAATATTTGCACTGCCTGCCTCATGGCATCAAATGGGATGATCCCTATGAAAATGCTTTGTAAATTATGAAATGTCCCATGTGCAAAGGTAATATTATTTAATACTTTGTGGTCACAAAGAATTAGCTATAGACAAAAAAAGGACTGTTTATATAGAGACGTCATTCACAGACAATAGTATTGACAAAAAAATTTTTTAACATTAGATTTTAGGAAATACATTTTAAGAAAACAAACCAAATAAAAATTGCAAAATATTGTGTGAGGATTAAGAGAAGAGCCAGGCGCTTTAAGTCATAACTTTATTCTTCAGGATTCAAATTTGCTGTACAAAAATGTTGAAGGTGTTTTTACACATAAAATATTCTGAACTAGGATAAATGTAACTTCTGACAATTGTTATGTAGTTTACACATATACAACTTTTGACAACATAGGTATTAGTTTTGTTTCTATTCACACAGGTAAATCTGAGACATTTTCGTAGAGGTCGGAGGAGATCACTTGCACTTGTAGCACATACCGGATATCTGCCACATCAGCAGGATCCTCATCATGTTCACAGGAACACTCCACTGCATGCCAATGCACTTTGCCACTTTCATATTGCAGCCAGCATCAACCCAGCCACAGGTAATAAAACATTGTTCAAAACGTAAGTTATACTTTTAGTTTTAGAATAAGTAGAATATTGGAGGTGACTTTCTTAGCCCACTTTTCGTTGTAGTAAGCTCATGGATTTCTGTTTGTTTGCCTTTAAGGCCATGATTTTATTTGTGATTTAGGATCTTGATAAGGCATTGAAGTTCATTATTAGTTTATTCAAAAGTTAAGATTTGAACTGTTGCTTAATAAAAGTACTACAGAAGTAGTATTGTATTCTTTTACTTTTTATTTTTATTATTATTATTTTTAGATTGAATTTTGCTCTTGTTACCCAGGCTGGAGTGCAATGGCACAATCTCAGCTCACCACAACCTCTGCCTCCTGGGTTCAAGCAATTCTCTTGCCTCAGCCTCCCGAGTAGCTGGGACTACAGGGGCGCGCCACCATGCCCAGCTAATTTTTTTGTATTTTTGGTAGAGACGGGGTTTCACCCTGTTGACCAGGATGGTCTTGATCTCTTGACCTCGTGATCCACCCGCCTCGGCCTCCCAAAGTGGTGGGATTATAGGTGTGAGCCACCGCACCCGGACTTTTTATTTTTCATAGAGATGAAATCTTGCTGTGTTTCCCAGGCTGGTCTCAAACTCCTGGCCTCAAGCGATCTTCCTGTCTTGGCCTCCCAAAATGCTGGGATTACAGACATGAGCTACCATGCCCAACCTCTAAAAGTAGTATTTTATGATTATCATATAGTTGTTAAAATCTTTGCATTTGGTACTTGATCTTTGGAGCCATTCCATAAAGAGGGCAGAAATATGTAAAAGCTATTACTGGAAGAATTAAGAAACTTATCTCTGTAGTCAAATATGTACTGTTAGACTAAGAGATCTGGATTATCTGGGTCTACCTATGAATTTGAAAATGTAAGTATTTATTATTTTTGAGACGAGAAATCACTCCTGTTTCCCAGGTGGGAGTGCAGTGGCACGAACATGGTTCACTGCAACCCCAACTTCCCAGGCCCAGGTGATTCTCGCACCTCAGCCTCCCAAATAGCTGGCACTATAGGCAGGTACCACCACGCCCAGCTAACTTTTTGTATTTTTAGTAGAGACTCAGTTTTTCCATGTTGTCCAGGTTGGTCTTGAACTCCTGGGCTCAAGAGTTCTACCTGGCTTGGCTCCTAAAGTGTTGGGATTACAGGCATGAGCCACTGTACCCAGTCAGCAGTTATTATTTTATATGTATATAAAATAGTAATATACAGAGTCAAAAATAAATATATGTTTAATATATTAAAAATACATATTATTAAAATATATATATAAATTACATATATATATACTTTTTTGTTTGTTTGTTTGTTTTTGGACAGAGTCTTGCTCTGTCACCCAGGCTAGAATGCAGTGGTCCAGTCTTGGCTCACTGCAACCTCCGCCTCTCAGGGTCAAGCAATTGTCATGCCTCAGCCTCCCAAGAAGGTGGGATTACAGGAATGCGCCACCATGCCCAGCTAATTTTTGTATTTTTAATAGAGACAGGTTTTCACCATGTTGGCCAGGTTGGTCTTGAACTCTAGGCCTCAAGCCTGGAGGCCACATCGAGTAAATAATTTTTATGAGTATAAAAACTGGTTGTCACAATTGGAACATTTAAAGTAGAGCCCTGGAATATTACTTGAAAAAAAAAATTAAAGGCAATATTTGCATAAGGTGTTATTTGTATAAAAAGTGAAAAGTGAAAGCCTCCTTTCAACTCTACCACACCTTTGTCCGTCTCCCTAGAAGATAACCACTAACAACTACTTGATGAGTTTTTGTTTATTATGAAATTTTTTTTTTTTTTTTTTTTGAGACAGAGTTTCGCTCTTGTTGCCCAGGGTGGCATGCAGTGGTGCAATCTCAGCTCACTGCAACCTTCACCTCCCGGGTAGAAGCAACCTCCTGCCTCAGCCTCCTGAGTAACTGGGATTACAGGCACCTGCCACCATGCCCAGCTAATTTTTCGTATTTTTAGTAGTGACAAGGTTTCACTATGTTGGCCAGGCTAGTCTCAAACTCCTGACCTCAGATGATCCACCCATCTTGACCTCCCAAACTGCTGGGATTATAGACACTTTGGGAGGCCTATAATCTGGCCATTACGGAATATTCATAAGCATAAATTAAGGATAACCTATTTTCATATAGTACATTGGATTTACAGTATTGCATTCTTCAAGGAAACATAGTGATAAAGATGGCCCATTAATTACTTGAATAGAATTTAATCTGTTAAAGCAAGAAGTACTCTGATAAGTCAAAGTGTAGAGATACTGTGGTAGGAATGAAAAGTATCTGCTGACCTAGATTTTATTTGGTTGACAACAGTCCTAGCTCTAAAATAATTTATGAGCCAAGAATAAATGGGAGAATCTTGAATTATCTTTATTAAAAAATCATATAGGCTTGAGACCAGGCACAGTGGCTCATGCCTATAATTTCAACACTTTGGGAGGCCAAGGCATGCAGATTACTGGGGGTCAGGAGTTCAAGACCAACCTGACCAACCTGGTGAAACCCTGTCTCTACCAAAAAATGCATATAAAAATTTGCTGGGCGTGGTGGCGTGTGCCTGTAGGTTTCAGTCACTTGGGAGACTGAGGCAGGACAATTGCTTAAACCCAGGAGGCAAAAGTTGCAGTGAGCTGATACCAAGCACTGCTCTTCAGCCTGGGTGGCAGAGTGAGTGAGACTCTGTCTCAAGAAGAAAAAAAGTCTTCAAACGTAGGCTTTTACCTTTATTTTAAACATACTCACAATGGTTATGATGCCCAGAGTCAACGTTAAGGACAGCTGAATAGTTTTGAAGATCCCCGCTTAGTAAAGGACAGTATTATGAGAATAAGGAAAGCATGAATTCTGTATTAATGGAAAAGGCTTGAGGGGTTACTGAAAAAAAGGAACCCTAAATTCTAGTGCGGTATTTCTTTGACTAGCTTCCAATAGGAAAACTCTAAGGTCTTTCTTTAGATGGTTAGGTCCCTAAGGAAAATATCCAGCAAGTCAAACATTAGTAGCTAAATTGGACCCTATGGAGAATTTCTTTCCCTAAATTTGATTTGTTGGAATGACTTTTCTGGATGCTTTATTTCTTATTCAAAGCACAACTCTCAGATTTGGCTTCACTTATTTGTCCATCAATAGAAATGGTTACAGGAGAGGCACTCCTAGAGCATGTTCTCTTAGTTCTAACTCTTATACACTGTCCATGAAGATTTTTAGTAAAAATGACATTATTCAAATTTTTGAATGTGTTCAGGATGTAGAAGAGGTGTGTTTCCTTTTGGTTAGAATGCTTCTGCTAAAAGCCAGCATTATTCCGTCTTCTTGTGAATTTAACAGTAAGGCCTACTAAAGGCATTGCTGATCTCTTTTGAGGGGCTGATTGTAAGTCAGATATCAGAAAGTCTTACCCATGAATTATTGGGGGCACTCTCTTAATCTCTGGCACCACTGTGTATCCATCTAGGAAGAATGGGACTGGCAGTGAGGCCAGCCAAGGCTACTGCTGAGTGCTTAATCTGTCCCAGTGTAGGAACTAGAAGTTGTGGTAGGAAGTAATGATACAGTGGTAATCAGAACAGGTAGGGTTCTTGCTCCCATGAAGCATATAATCAGGCAAGGGATATATAAATATCAGTGAAATAATTATACTAAGGAATGTATAGTTATAAACAGATTCTCTTGGATTGGATGTAGCTATCAAGTCTTAGAACCTGCCTCCAATAGAAGGGACAGGAGGAAATTTTTAAAAATCCTTTCCTTTACATTCATCTCCTATAATATTCTTTCTAACAATATGGTACCTAACAATGGATACATTGTTTGGAGAGATATTTAATCCAAATTATTTACCTTTTTTTTTTTGAGATGAGATGGAATCTCGCTCCGTTGCCCAGGGTGCAGTGTCATGGTCCCGGCTCACTGCAACCTCTGCCTCCCAGGTTCAGGTGATTCTCCTGCCTCAGCCTTGTGAGTAGCTGAGACTATACACACCTGCCACTGTGCCCAGTTAATTTTTGTCTTTTTAGTAGAGACTGGGTTTCACCATATTGACCAGGCTGATCTCGAACTCCTGACCTTGTGATCTGCCCACCTTGGCCTCCCAACGTGCTGGGATTACAAGTGTGAGCCACCACACCTGGCCTTTACCTTTCTTTTAAAAAATAGATTTATTTTGGAGAAAATTGTTTATACTCCTTATGTTCATTCTAGCCTTTACAATTTAGCAGATACCAGCATGATCCAGGTTTGATTTAATATGATCCTTGAATTTTTGCTTACTTCTACTAATTATGGATTATTTGTCACAACTGACTGGATTTGTACTTCAGTATACTCAATTTAACATTTATATCAAAAGTAATACCAAGGGGTCGGAATATCAAACTATAATTCCAACGCTTTGGGAGGCCAAGGCGGGTGTATCACCTGAGGCCTGGAGTTTGAGAACAGCCAGACCAACATGATGAAACTCTGTCTCTAGGGAAATATATATATATAAAGTTGGGTGTGGTGGCCCACACCTGTAGTCCCAGCTACTTGGGAGGCTGAGGCAGGAGCATTGCTTGAACTAGGCAGAGGTTGCAGTGAGCCGCAGTGACACCACTGTACTCCAGCCTGGGTGACAAAGCGAGACTCCATCTCAAAAAAAGAAAAAAAAAAAACAAAGAAAAAAAAAGAAAAAAAAAAAACAAAAACAAAGTAGTACCAAGAAACAAATTTTTTTTAGCTGAGGTTGACTGTCTTGAATGCTTTCCTTGACCATGAAAAGGGAACCTCAACTTCAATCTTGATGCTAACAAATAAGCAGTCCATCTTAGAATTAGATAGGTCATTAAAGAGCTTAATAGGTCAGTCTATTAAGTAAAAACAAATTGTTGCTACTAAGATACATATGTTCCTAGTTCCTTTGACATTATGGTGACTTTTTTTTTCTTTTTTCTTTTTTTTTTTTTTTTTTGATCAGCTTAAAATTTTTTTTTT